GGACATGCGTATAGTGCTTATATCCTGTGCTAGCACGCACGCACGCATGCACACAGTGTGTGATGCCCGCGTGGGCGGGTCTTTCTCGCGAGCATTTTCCTCCAAGATTCCGCCCCTTTTTTCTATCTTTTCTCCTGAAAATTATTTTAATAAAAATAACAAAAATAAAATAAAATAAAATAAAAATAAAATAAAGAAATCAGAATGAAATTAAAATCATGAATTTAAATAACGAAATACGATATAAAACTACGAGATAAATTTAAATAAGTTCAAGTGGCTTTAAGGCCTGAATAAATAAGAGTTTTCATATACTAATTTAGCGCGATGGTGAGCGGGGTGTTACAACATGATTATAGGGTTAATTCTCATGTTATAACTATAAATTTATGTAGTTTCAAGTATTTATTTTTGTTAATGCATCGAAACTTACACCAATTATAAATGAATGCATATTATTATCAGTAGGAAAATGCATGTTTGGGGGGAATGATAGAAGGTTAGGGTTTGAGAAACGTGTTTAGGGTTCCTGGGGAGGACAGGGGAAATGGGTTAGGTCGATATATCGTACGAGCCGAAAGCCAAAGCTTGAGTTGGGCCGAGCCCATCCTTTATGGACCGGACCAAATAAAATGGGATTAGCCAAATAAATGAAAAAAAATCAATAAAAATAATAGAAGTACTAAAAAATAAATAAATAAAGAACACTAATTAAAGCGAAGTAAATGAATGAATACAAATGAATATACATGTACTATAGCCAACAAAATTAATAAAAGAAATAAAACGAGCTTAAATAGAGCTTAAATAGGTTAAAGCTTAATATTGGGCCCCTGGCCCAAGTGTAAACAAAAAAGGGTGAGAATAAATTCGTTAGGAAAATTAGTGGTGGTGGCAATGTGATGGATCAGGCTGATGGTCCCAAGAAATAGTCAATTAGCTAAGAAAATTTGGAAAAGTGGGCTAGGCCAACCAAGTAAAAAGGCCAAATGGGATGGGTTCTAATTTATAATTTGATAAATTTGGGTAATTAAATAAAGAAATAAGGCTTGCACAAAATTAAAGTTTAGATATTAAATAGGTAAATCAAAGGCAATGATGCGAAATTAATAGTGGAATGAGCAACGTTAAAGACTTAATTAGAACGAGTATTAGAAATGTATGGTAAACCTTAAAAAGGAAATAAAATTAACTTTTGGTAGCAAGTCCATGGGAATTTAGGTTAGAAAGAATAAACAAGCACCTGTGTAAGTGTAAAGTGTAAAAGTTGTCTTAATATGTTAATATATTAATATCATTTGATCTCACATCAAGGAGGAGTGCGTATGGGTATGACCGAGATCTGATTGAAGTGAGGGTGAACCCTATCTCATGAACTATCTAGTGTATTGTAACTATAACTTTAACTATGATTGAAACTATGATTGTAACTATGATTATGCCCGTGGACGACATATCGATCGTAACTATGATTAGATCAATATTGATAGTAGGAATCCCTATTGCCTTCTTTGATAATGATTAAAAATAACATCGTATGATGAAGTTTTAAAGATTTTGTGTTTGTGTGGCCCTCGAATTATTAGTTGTGATTGTAAAAAACGAATCATATGACTATAAGTTTCAAAAAACAAGTGTAATATATATGATTGTGTATTGTGGATATTTTCGTACTGACAATGGAGAATTATATAATTAGATATAAAATGAGTAGCGTCCATGGGTGTACTCATGTACATTATGTTAGTTAAACCAGTTACATTAAGGGGGGAATAGGGAGTTAAATCAGGCTTTATGATATTATCTTTATGAAATGTCTGTAAAACATAACAAGGATTCTTAATTATACTATGTCTTAGATCGGTACATTAGAGTATTAAATTTTTCTTACTGAGTACGTGTAGCTCACCCCATCTTATTTCCAAAACAGGAGGGTCAAGATCAAGCTTGGGAACCATTGGAATAGTAGAGCCAAGTGAAAAGTGTGTGAAAAATGAGAAGACTTCCATTTATGTCGATTTGTTTTTTAGAATTTATGGCATTTCATTTCATTTAATTCCATTAACATACATGTGATAAAAAGATCAATGATTATACATTTATGTGGTATATTGTTGAATGTATGATAACTATAAATAGATAATCCAAATGATGCTCGCGACTTACCTAAAGTTCGGGTTGTTATACAACTTATTAGTGATAATTTTATATATATCATAAATTACTTAAATAATATTTACTTTAAATTTAAATAATAATAATTTAAAGTTGATATTTTATATTAAATAAAATAAACTAAAACAAATACTTTAAGATAATTTAAATTAGTAAAATAACTTTTAAAGAATAATTAAAAACTATAATAATTATATTTTATTTTTACATGATTATCTTTTTGTTGTTAATTTTGTAATATAATTAATTAAATTTAACACTATATGTGGTACAATGCAACGTATGATGCAAAGCACCCAAATTTTCAATTGTTGTAGGAATAGAAACAAGGTGGGTTTGAGATGAACTTTACTAAATTAAAATCTAACTCATTCTAACCTGGATTGAGTTTAAATTCTTTTTTATTTATTTTTTTGAGTCATGTCAAATTTGCAGATTATTCAATTTGAATCCTGACCCTATCATTAGATTATATTAATATATATAATTTTATTTATATTAATAAGAAATAAAAAAAATATTTATTCATGTATAATAATATATATTAATTACATTTATCAAGATAACTATTACTATATTTATTAATATGATATATTTATATTTATAATAAATATATTAATAAATAATAATAAATATATATATATATATATGCATAAACTAGGTCAAGTTTGGAGGGGTTTTAAATGTCAAACCTAAATTCATCCTGACCTGCTGCGTCTTTTCACGCAACTCAAATCCGGCCAGATCTGAACTCGCATTTGAACAAAACAACTGCATCCAATCAAATTCGGATGGATCAGATTAAGTAGATAAAGGTTTGCTATGTCATATCTAGGTTTAGGTTGGGGCTGTTTTGGATTGATGAGTAAATAAGAGTGGGTAAGTCAGATTCAGCTTTTGCTTGCCAAAATCCTTTCCGAATCTGACCCGGTATATGTACATCAAAATATATAAATATAAATATACAAAAGTATTATAAATATAATTATCGTAATATTAACATAACATAATGATTGGACAGAGTGCGGATCGAATAATTTACAAATGAGAGACAATTTGAACAATAAAAAAAATTATAAACCCGCTCGGAGATACGAGTTCGTGTTTTTATGGGACCATTGTAGGAAGTAGAAAGGAACCTGAACCCTTTCTGAACTGCTCATATGGCTATTCCTAATGAGAAATGGAGGAGAGGAAAAGAAAAAGAAAACCAAAAAATCATAAGAGTGGAAGCTTAGAAAGGAAGAAGAAGGAAAGAGGAAGAAAAGAACAGAAGGAACAGGTGCCCCATTGTCTGAAGCTGAGAGGAGAAGATGAAGGTTAATGTATGTAGGATTTTCTTTTAAGCATGTATATACGTGTATAATTTAATATTATATGATACTTTTATATTTAATTTATAATTTAATTAGTATAAAAATATAAATAAATGTTTTTTTTATATAAAAGATGTATATTGGATTTTTATTTTTTTTTTCATTTTGATAATTTGATATTATTTTATAAAAAATAAAAATATTTATCCTACATATTTTTTCTTTCGTTTATATACATATTTTCGTTTACATATATATATATATATATATATGTAACACACAAGCTCCTTGGGGAAGCTTTGTGGAAGCTTGTCGAGAAAGCTTAAGAAAAAAAAAAAACTTGCTCCCCTCGCCTTGAAACTTTTTAAAAAAAATTGAGGGAGCCTGGAGTTATGAAGTTTTCTCTTCTGAAAGTTGATGTTTTTCTGATAATGCTTTAATATGGTTTAATGTTGGTGGAGATTAAATATGGAGAATAAGTTTCATGAGTGGGAAGAAGGAGAAGGAAAGATAAAAAAGAAGAAAAAATAAAACAAAATTTAGTTTATGTTATTTTATCAAGTGTGTGTACGCGTGTCTATATAATTTAATATTACTATATTAATTCCTATTACACTAAATTACTTAATTTTTTAATTAATAGACTTTTATGTAACAAATGCCTAGCTACCATGTGGCATTTGATTATTAAAAAATTATATTTCATGATCATGTTATCCACTGCATAATGTAGAAATAAAAAATAATAATCTTAACTGATAAGAGAGAAGTTAATTTGAACCAATTTTCAAAATTTAATTTATATTTCAATGAAAAAACGGTTATTTGATTAAAACAAAATAATACATACAACAAGTAACCATTTATGCCAATTTTAGTGTTTTTTCTTGCAATGCTTCACCCTCTTATATTCGAAATTTCTTTTTATTGTTTCCCATCCATAAAATATTTAATATTCAGTAATCTTACAATGTATTAATCAAATTAATTTCTCTAGTTTTAGCAGACATGTTTTAAAAATAAAATTAAAACTATTTAAACATATGAGACAAATATAACAGGCCTAAATTCATGTATGAAGTAAACCCGTTTTGGTAGCCGCCGGCAACAATTAACATATTTTAGAACCACTTTTTGACAGCTGGGTGAGAAGTTTAATGAAAGAAGAAGGTAGGTTTGGATTTCCAAATAGAGCTATCTTTCAACAGCTAGCTTTCACTCACAGTTTCATATTCAAACCATCCAATCCCATCCTTGGAAACCAAAAAATCAAAAATCAACCCATTTTGGAATATCAAAATATGCAGCAACCCACCTTAATATTTCATACATAATATCTATATATAGTCATATAATAATAATAATAAAAATGGAAACTTCTCTATCATCTGAGTCAACCCATCTCATATTCTTGTCTCTACATGACTTCGACTCTTATTATATATACAGATATAGATAGATAGATAGAAAGATAGAGAGAGAGAGAGAGAGAGAGAGAGAGAGAGAGAGGTGGTGAATAGCCAGAAGTGAGCTGGGTTTCTTCTTACCATTAATGCCTGAAACAAAGCTCATATTAAAACCCTACATAGACTAAGATCGATTAATCGAAGGAGAAACAAGAATTAACAATCAAGATGAATCCAGGGAATCACTGGGGAGGTTCATTAGACATAGTGCAAGGAGACACGTCGACGGAGGGTGATAGAAGTCGCAAGATGGAGTGGGATCGAGGAGCTCTACAATCACAGAGGCAGTACGTGCACGAACTTGACGAGACGCAACAGAGTTGGCTGCTTGGACCCAAAGAAAACAAGAGGAAAAACAAAAAGTATATGGATTTAGGGTGTATTCTCGTTAGTCATCGTGTTCTTAAATGGAGTCTTCTCTCGATCCTTATAGGGTTTCTGGTTATTGCTCTTCCCACTGTCATCGTCAAGTCAGTGCCCAAACATAAGCCTTCTCCTCCTCCTCCTGATAATTACACTCTTGCACTCCACAAGGCTCTCCTCTTTTTCAATGCCCAGAAATGTAAGTTCACTAATTTCTTCACAGATTAATTGATTAAGTAATTTCTGTGCTTGTTCATTGTATCATATAAAGATTAATTAATTAGCTAATTTACATAGATTTTTAATTAATTTTGTTTTCCTGAAATTAGACCTGTAACATACCCATTGGTTTTAATTACAGATTTAAATATAATAAATGTATATATATGTTTGAATAGGATAAATTGTTAGTTTGTCCTTGATTTGTAAAGTAAACAAGTGCATTGTAGTGCTGGAATTACGCAAGAGAGTTTGACTTTAGCCGTTTCAATTCCGTGTGGGTCCTACTTCCCCGGCCTTTTTCTCTTAATCTCTACCCGTTTTGGTCTACTCTCTCTAATTCCTTCCTTGTTTGTTACAATGCTCCTATTTTCTTCACAACGTGATTTCAACAATTATATATTTTTCCATGACTAAATCATGTATCATTTTAATAAAAAATAAGAATTTAATTGATAGATTTTGAGTATTTTGTAGAAACGAATTTTATTTTTTTATCGATGTAATTATTCTCCAGAATAAAGAAAAAATATTGAAAATTTTACTTTTAATTTTTTGTGTAAATTATTAATCTGACTTAAAACGGTTAACAAAATTATTCATTTTTTTAATTATGAAATCTCACAGTAAATTATTATAAAATAAACAAAATGAATGGAACAAATTTTTATTTCTTTTAGTCTTAATTTTAATTATTGCGTTAAATTTATACCTCATAAAATTTTAAAAAGTCTTTGAATTTTAATAGTCTTTTTAATAATGGATCAATAGTTTTATGCATGACAGAATAACTAACGTCTATAAAAATTATAATTAGACAAATAAAAATTTAATCCTTCATTGAATATACAACTAGAAAAGATCGACAAGAATCTTTCTTTTTAGATAAATATAAATAGGCTGGAATTTTCAGAATGTAGCAAAGATGTGTTTTTTTTTTTTTTTCAGATAATTACAGGTCAAGAAGAAAATTTGATTAATGCTGCTGAGTGAATTCACATGGAATGGAAGTCCAGAAACATTATATATACATATATACATATATATATATATCATTTAATAATGATGTACTCATGTGCTTGGCATTGCCATTTTTTCTAACACTTAAATTCGTCAACCAACTGACTAGTTGAGCTATAGATGCATGAAAACTGTTGACTTTGGGAAATAATTTAAAGAGAAAAAAAATAATTCCTCTTTACCATTACTGTGCACATCCTTTTTCTTTTAAAGTTAATTTAATTTAATTATTTTTTTATTTGCAGCTTCTGTTTTTTTTTTTTTTGTTCTTCAAAACTTTAAAATAAAATAAGAAATAATTAAATATTGACTGTTATGTGGGCAGCTGGAAAGTTGCCTAAGAATAATGGCATACCATGGAGAGGGAATTCAGGGCTGAAGGATGGAAATGAGTTGCCGGACGTTAAAGGAGGGTTGGTCGGAGGCTATTACGACGCAGGAGACAACATCAAGTTCCATTTTCCCATGGCATTCTCCATGACAATGCTAAGCTGGAGTGTTATTGAATACAGTCACAAATATATAGCTATTGATGAGTATGATCATGTGAGGGAGCTCATCAAATGGGGTACTGATTACTTGCTATTGACTTTCAACAGCACTGCCACCAAAATTGACAAAGTTTATTCTCAGGTTTTCTTTTATATTTATTCATTTTATTTATATCTACTATCGTATACTCGATACTGAATTTATCTTTAGGTTGGTGGGAGTTTAAATGGCTCAACTACACCAGATGATCATTATTGTTGGCAAAGACCAGAAGACATGACTTACAAACGAGATGTTCAGACTGCAACTTCAGCGCCTGATCTTGCAGGAGAAATGGCAGCAGCCTTAGCAGCAGCCTCTATTGTGTTTCGGGACAACAATGCTTATTCTAAAAAGTTAGTTAGAGGTGCTGAAACACTATATGCCTTTGCTAGGGAGACAGGAAGACGTCGAGCATACTGTCGTGGCAACCCTTACATTGAACCTTATTATAACTCAACTAGTATCTATGATGAGTACATGTGGGGTGCTACCTGGTTATATTATGCCACAGGGAATATCTCCTACATTTTGTTGGCTACTAATCCTGGAATGCCTAAAAATGCCAAAGCATTCTTCAATGTTCCTGATCTAAGGGTGCCCAGCTGGGATAACAAGTTACCTGCTGCCATGTTGTTATTGACCAGGTATAGGATATTCTTGAATCCGGGTTACCCTTATGAGGACATGTTACGCATGTATCATAATACAACCGGTCTCAATATGTGTTCTTATCTTCAGGAATTTCAAGTCTTCAATTGGACTAAAGGTTTGTTTTGTCTTTTCCAATGACTTTTAAAGTGAAATACAGATTGATTACTTAGAATAAAGAGTACTTATGGTAAAAATTTGCAGGAGGATTAATCCAATTGAACCATGGAAGACCCCAACCTCTTCAGTATGCTGCTCATGCTTCTTTCTTGGCATCTCTATTTGTTGACTATTTGAATGCTACAGGTGTCCCAGGATGGGATTGTGGTGATAAATTTTTTCCTTTAGATGTTCTTCGGAGATTTGCAACCTCACAGGTTTCTTACATAGATTAATTCTCTCATTTCCCCTTCTATTCTATATTTCTATTATTCATAAGCTTATTCTAGTTTCTTTTTTATTGCAGATTGCCTATATTCTAGGTAAAAACCCATTGAAAATGAGCTATCTTGTTGGTTACGGAAGCAAGTTTCCCAGACATGTGCACCATCGTGGTGCATCCATACCTCATGACAAGAAAAGATACTCGTGCACCGGAGGATGGAGATGGCGTGACACCCGTAATCCTAACCCTAATAATATAATAGGAGCCATGGTTGGAGGGCCCGATCGGTTCGATCACTTCCATGATGTTCGTGGCAATTATAGCTACACCGAGCCAACTTTAGTCGGAAATGCAGGACTTGTTGCTGCACTTGTGTCCCTCACAAGCAGTGGTCCCTCTGGGATTGACAAAAATTCTATCTTTTCTGCAGTCCCTCCACTTTACCCTAGAACTCCACCACCGCCAGCACCTTGGAAGCCGTAATTTGTTGCTCTAATAACCTTCATGGCTCTCACCTTATTATATTGTTCATGCAATGAGAATTTTTATTCTTAGATTATTGTTCATAGGAAAGTACATCGATCCGATATGTCTATTCATGTGAGATTTGTTGTTGACATCATAAGTTACTACAAATGTCTGTTTGAAATCTCTTTAGATTACAATAAAGCTTGTACTAAGTTCTAGAGGAAGTCATGCCAAAGACTTCCACAACACATCAAAGTCCTAAATGATGACTAATTCAATTCAAATATTACTGGCACATTATCAGATATGTTCCACAAAGAAGAAAGAAATTTAATTTTAGAAGACATTTTGAAGTTTTTATTGTCTAAATTCATTTACTTGTACTTCAAATTGTTGAAAATGAATAAAATTAAAAAAATAATAAAAAATATGTAGCATGAGTTGAAAAAGAGAAGGTCGTTTTCAAGCATGTCATATTGTTCACCATCATTCAGCTACATGTACTTTTAGTAACAAACTTAAATGAACATAAAAAATAGACATCAAAGCAATTCTCTACAATTGAACATGGCCTTAATTTCCATTCTTCTATGCTCTAGCCTTCATTGGCGAAGACACATCCAAGGGATTGACATGAGATGCTGTACAAGACCATTTTGGCTGTATTGTATTGGGAATTTCACTAAATCATAAAATTACCTTATTATTTTCTCAAATGAAACTTATTATGTCAGGACAGTACAGACTGAGGTAATTGTGGCCTAAAAGAGACTAAATTTTATCAGGTGGCCATTTAAGGATCATATCATTGTATGTAACAAGAACCAGGCTCTTCAGGGCCACATGGCCTGGTCCTGCAAGTGGAACAGCAGCAATTCCTCTTTGATTCAGTAAACATCTGAAATGTGCCAACCTTCCTGTAACTTGCGCTGGATCTTTAGCCAACTTGACATAAGGTGTCCATAGCCGCTCTTCAAAGAGATTGGAAAGGGAAAATAAACAATTAATTATTACTAGTAAAAAATATAAACATACACAACTGCAAATACAAATACAATTCCATTTATTAGTCCTTGAGAGAGTTATATCCCTAAGAAATTCAGTCAAATCATTTTAATATTTTATAGACAATAATAGGAAATCTTCATCAATCAAATCCAATTTCCTCAACACCATATCCACTGATCATTAGCAGAAAAACCTTTTGTTTTACTAAAGCTAAAACTTGACCGCTTGCATTATAGGCCATCGCTCTGTTAAAATCCAGGTGCATTATTTCATTTTTCCCATCAGAAAAAATGTTACATACTTATATGATGATACTTTGTTTGGGATGCTAATGTACATCTTGCACAAAGTTTGCTGCATGCATACAATACACTAAAATGCTTGCTTGAGTTCTTCAGCATCTTATAGGTAGAAAATACATCAAATCATTGTTTCCTAGACTGATTACAGTTAGGGAAATCCCCCTCCCGAATTGATTATCATGATCTGGTTGGGAGTTTAATTTTTGAAGTAAATGAGAATAGAATAGAATTGAACAATAATCTTGTGTGATAATTATAAGTCATGCATAACAAGAAAACTTTTATTTGCAATAAGTTTTATATTAAAGAAATTTTGGGTAATTATTATAATTACTAGTATCTTTTGTTTATTAGCTATTTAGTAAGTTAGTTAGAAACTTTGGTTATTTAGATTGATGTTAAGTTGATAAAAGTTTTTTATTTCTGCTTTAGTTATTTTAATATCATTCTTATTATATGCATCTAATGCCTAGATAAAGGCTAGTAAATTATCATACAAATCAATATTTTAGTTCTCCAATTTTGAATTATATTTTTTTAGTCCTAATAACTTTTTATTTACAAAACAGTTCTTGAATTTTTTAATTTTTTAAAAAATATAAATACTATTAGTTCTAAGAAATGAAGAAAGAAGTTGAGGATTGTTTTGGAAAAAAAAAAGCTTATTAACTTATGGTTTACCAAAAAAATTAAATTAGAATAAAGTAAAAAATAAAAATATTTAGTTTTAGAATTAACGACGTTGCTAGTTTCCTTCAAATCCAAGTCTCTCAACAGTCAGACTCTTTCTTTCTTGAAACTTTTATTTTTGAAATCAAATAGATATTTGTTTAACCAAAACAACATAGATACAAACCAAATCTTCTAAAATAACAATTCAGTACTGCAAAACTTGATATCATCCCCAAATGAAGATATAACTGAAAAAATCACAGCCTCACTCATCTTTTTCCCTTCATTTTACCAACTGACAGAGGTCTTCCCCCTCCATAAATTCTGTCTCCCCTCAATGTAATCCTCTCTCAACTTTTACTTTGCTCCCAATAGATCACTCCTCCTTGCTCTGTTTCTCTTTCACGCAGATGAAACCTGATGCGAGCAAAGGAGGGGGAAGACACATTATATTACATGATATCCCATGACCAAGATGAAACATAAATTTACTTGGAAGACCACATAGGAGTTCGTAGCAATATGGGAGCTTACATTGAAGCTCACGAGCCTCAAGGTGTCTTAAAGGTTAAGGACACTCGGTGAAATAATAATCCACATAATAAACATTGATAGTCATCAAAATCTTGGACTCTTACCCAAGTAATCTACTTGCCATTCCCCCCTCTTATAAAGCATGGGTGGAATTATAAAGCATATTAAACACATGGAGGATCAATAATTCTTCTTTGATAATAATATGGCAGATTTACTCATGACAAGTGATAATGTAAAAGAATATATGTCAAACTCATTTTATAATTATATAACTCAATAAGGAATTTTTCAATTGTCTTCTTGTAGTGATACACCATCTCAAAATAGGGTTGCTAAGAGAAAAAACATACATTTACTTGAGATTTCTCGAACACTTTTGTTCCAAACATAGGTTCCTAACAATTTTAGGCTGATGTGGTATCCACTGCCTATTTCTTAATTAATCATCTACCATCTATAGTATTTGTAGGTGATATTGCTTACAATATTTTTTTTCTAAACAAGTCATTATTTTCAATACAACCGCAGGTATTTAATAACACTTATTATATTCGAGATGTGTGACCTACTATTACTAAATTGGATACAAAAACTTTGAAGTGTGTTTTTTTTTGGAATATTCTCGTCTAAAAAAGGGATATCAGTGTTATTCTTCGTATCTAAATAAATATCTGGTATTAACCAATATAATCTTTTCAGATAATGTATCATTCTTCTTCTCACTGTCCAATTATACAGATCAGGTGAATGACGATGAGTGGCTCATCTATAGGTACATCGCAATACCTCTACGTAGCAACCAAATAATAGTATTTCTCTTTATGTGCCTTCTGTTCTAGTTAAGCAAACTGATGATAGTGTGCCTCCAACTCAAGGACAACCACCAATTGTCTGTGTTTATTTCAGAAGACAACAGACTAATGATACATATTCTGCACCAGCTTCTTCATCATCTAATCCTTCTACACATAATCTTAATATTTCCATCAATCTTCGTACAGGTACACGTCAATGCATCATTCCTAACTTTACTTATTCCATTACTAATTTCATTTCATATGATCATTTGTCTCCTTTGTCTAACTCTTTAATTACCTGTATAGATTCAACTTCTATATACAAGATAGTTAGGGAGACTCTGAATCACCCTACTTGGCATAATGTCATGTTTGAGGAGATAAATGCTCTTGATGATAATCATATTTAAAATTTGGTGGATTTACCGAAAGAAAAAAAGGATATGGAATGCAAATGGGTATTTCCAGTCAAAGTGAATACAGATGGCTCTGTGGTGAGAATTAAAACTCGACTGATAGCGAAAGATTATGCTCAGAATTATAAAGTGACTTATTCTGATATATTCTCTCTAGTGAACAAACTTACCTCTTTCTATTTAGTCACCTCTATTGCTGCCTCCCGAGACTAGCCCTTGTACCAGTTGGACATTAAAAATACATTTCTTCACAGTGATATCTTAGAAGAGGTGTATATGAAACAACCACATGAGTTTGTTGTATAAGAGAAGTACTTGTCATTTGAAGAAATCTTTATATAGTTTGAATCAGAGTCTCCATGTGTGATTTGACAAGTTTAGTTAAGTAGTTTGTAAGTTTGGATTGAAAAAAACTAAGTGTGATCATTCAATATTCTATATTATACTTCTTATTATTTATGTTGATAATATTGTGATTACAAGAGATGATCATGCATGAATATCTTCTCTCAAGTCATTCTTGCATACCAAGTTTTATATTAAAGACTTGAACAGTTAAAATATTTCTAGAGAGCTAAAGTAATAAAAAATAAGAAAGAGATTTTGTTATCTCAGATGAAGTATGTACTTGAACTACTTGAAAAAAAAGGAAAGCTGAGAGCTAAGCCATACAATACACTAATGGTGCCAAATGTACATTTTATAAAAGATAATGGTGATCTTGATGATCCAGAAAAATACAGACAATTAGTAGGAAAACTGAACTATTTCACTATGACTCCTTCATATATTGTATATTCTGTCACTGTTACGAGTCAATTTATGTCTGCACCTACAGTTAAATACTAGGAGGTTCTGGAACATATTTTTTCGGAACTTGATATATTATTAAACAATCATGGCCATACTCACATTGAATACTTTATAAATACTAATTATATTGGATCTAAAATTGATAAGAGATCTATTATAGGCTATTATGTTTTTGTAGGTGGGAATCTCGTATCATGAAAACATAAAAAGTAGAGAGTCATATCTCATTCAAGTGCATAGTTCAAATATAAAGTTATAACCCAGTCCACATGCTAAGTCTTATGGATACATCATCTTTTAGATGAAGTAGGTTTAAAGCCCACATCTCTTACAAAACTCTAGTATGATAATCAGACTGGACTTCATATTGCCTCAAATTCGGTGTATCATGAAAGAACTAAACATATCGAGATTGATTGTCACTTCATCTAATAGAAGATTCAGAAAAATTTTATATTTACTGGTTGTGTGAAGATAGGAGAA